AACTGAATGAAAATGCATTTTCATTTGCAGAGGGGGAAATATATGGAACAAAACACTAAAAATGTTAACAAGCCGAAGTAACTAGAACCTGTGCTCCTCAATAAAAGAAGCCGCTGCAGTGAGAAGCCCGTGCACCGCAATGAAGAGTAGCCCTTGCTCGTTGCAACTAGAGAAAGCCCTGGCACAGCAACGAAGACTCAGCATAGTTAAAAACAAAACAAAATAAAACAGATGTTATCAAATCAGTGGCCTCAGCTTGTCCTTAAAGAAACTAGGAAAAAAGAAGAGCAAATTATTTTTTTTTCAGAAGAGCAAATTATATGCAAAGATTTATAGTTTATTCCAAAAGCATAAGGTTGGCTTAACATTCACCACTGAGGAAAATTAGACCTAAATAAGTGGAGAGATATGCTATGATCAGGGGTCAGAAGAGTCAACATTGTTAGGATTTCAATTCTCCCCAAACTGATATACAAATTCAATACATTCCCAGTCAAAATACCAGTAGACATTTTTCCCCCAATAGAATTGATTCTATTTTTCTAAATTTCCTATGGAAAAGCAAGGGAGAAAGTAGTGTGAACAAAGACAATTTTTAGGTTACGAATGCTTAAGTATTGAGAGAAATGCCCAAGAAGAGGATAAAGAGTTAAAAGGCAGATGTGAGAGAAGCTGGGCACAGCTGAAAAACTACAAAGTTGAGGAACTAAAACTATATGATTTCAAGAATTATGAAACTTCAGTAATCAAGACACTGTGGTAGTGGCATAAATATACTTAAATAGTCAAGAGAACAGACTGGAGACTCTGTTAACTCACACATATATGGTCAATTGATTTTCAAAAAGGTGCAAACGCAATTTAATGGAGAGAGTAGTCTTTTCAACAAACAGAGCTAGAATAATTGTTTTTAAAAAAGAATTTCTATCCATATCTGATATGGATAATCTACAAAGATTAAGACAAAATGGATCATAGACCTAAATATAAAATCTAAAAGTATAAAACTCCTAGAAAAACACATAAGAAAAAATGCACTGTCTTTGGATTTATCTTGACCAATAAACCCCTCTTCTATGAAGTGTTCAGGGTAAAGAAAAGGAGCTAGAAGTCAATCACATTTCTTCTTGTTAATAACTATTTGATAAAAGCTCAGTAGACAACAAATGAAAGCTATCGACTAAAATTAGATATCAATATTAGCTATAGACTAATTTTTCTTTCACATCACTCAGTAACATATGTGATTCATTTCTTAAAAAGCTTGATTAACTCTGATATGAAATTGAAAGTGATTAATATAGAATTGGAGCTTGTGGGGACTTCCCTGGTGATAGAGTGGACAAGAATCCACCTGCCAATGCAAGGGACATGGGTTTGATCCCTGGTCTGGGAGATTCCACATGCTGCAGAGCAACTAAGCCCATGTGCCAATTACCGAGCCCGAGTTCTAGAGCCAGGAGCTGCAACTAATGTGCCCTCGTGCCATAGTTACTGAAACTTTGTGCTGCAAACACTGAACCCCTGCACCTGGAGCCTGTGCTCTGCAATGAGAGAGGCCACCAAAATGAGAAATCTGTGCACTGAAATGAAGAGTAGCCCCCTCCCGCTGCAACTAGAGAGAGAGCCTGCATGCGGAAATGAAGACCAACCAAATGAAGCTCAACCAAAAATAATGAATAAATAAATCATTTAAAAAAAAAAGAATTGGAACTTATTATCCAGAGTCTGGCTCTAGGTGAGTTATCACACCATCATGATTATCTGGGTCGTGAAGATCTTTTTTGTACATTTCTGTGTATTTTTGCCACCTCTTCTTAATATCTTCTGCTTCTGTTAGGTCCATACCATTTCTGTCCTTTATTGAGCCCATCTTTGCATGAAATGTTCCCTTGGTATTTCTAATTTTCTTGAAGAGATCTCTAGTCTTTCTTAATCTATTGTTTTCCTCTATTTCTTTGCATTGCTCACTGAGGAAGGCTTTCTTATCTCTCCTTGCAATTCTTTGGAACTCTGCATTCAAATGGGCATATCTTTCATTTTCTCCTTTGCTTTTCACTTCTCTTCTTTTCACAGCTATTTGTAAGGCCTCCTCAGACAGCCATTTTGCTTTTTTGCATTTCTGTTTCTTGGAGATGGTCTTGATCCCTGTCTCCTGTACAATGTCACGAACCTCCATCCATAGTTCATCAGGCTCTCTGTCTATCAGATCTAGTCCCTTAAATCTATTTCTCACTTCCACTGTATAATCATAAGGGATTTGATTTAGGTCACACCTGAGTGGTCTAGTGGTTTTCCCTACTTTCTTCAATTTCAGTCTGAATTTGGCAATAAGGAGTTCATGATCTGAGCCACAGTTAGCTCCCGGTCTTGTTTTTGCTGATTGTATAGAGCTTCTCCATCTTTGGCTGCAAAGAATATAATCAATCTGATTTCGATGGTGACTATCTGGTGCTGTCCATGTATAGAGTCTTCTCTTGTGTTGTTGGAAGAGGGTGTTTGCTATGATCAGTGCGTTCTCTTTGCAAAACTCTATGGGCCTTTGCCCTCCTTCATTCTGTACTGCAAGGCCAAATTTGCCTGTTACTCCAGGTGTTTCTTGTCTTCCTACTTTTGCATTCCAGTCCCCTATAATGAAAAGGACATCTTTTTGGGGTGTTAGTTCTAAAAGGTATTGTAGATCTTCATAGAACCGTTCAACTTTAGCTTCTTTAGCGTTACTGGTCGGGGGATAGACTTGGATTACTGTGATATTGAATGGTTTGCCTTGGAAATGAACAGAGATGATTCTGTCATTTTTGAGATTGCAACCAAGTACTGTATTTCGGACTCTTTTGTTGACTATGATGGCTACTCTATTTCTTCTAAGGGATTCCTGCCCACAGTAGTAGATATAATGGGCATCTGAGTTAAATTCACCCACTCCAGTCCATCTTAGTTTGCTGATTCCTAGAATGTCAACATTCACTCTTGCCATCTCCTGTTTGACCACTTCCAATTTGCCTTGATTCATGGACCTAACATTCCAGGTTCCTATGAAATATTGCTCTTTACAGCATCAGACCTTGCTTCTATCACCAGTCACATTCACAACCGGGTGTTGTTTTTATTGGCTTCATCCTTTCATTCTTTCTGGAGTTATTTCTCCACTGATCTCCAGTAGCATATTAGGCACCTACCGACCAGGGGAGTTCATCTTTCAGTGTCCTATTTGGCTTTTCATATTGTTTATGGGGTTCTCAAGGCAAGAATATTGAAGTGGTTTGCCATTCCCTTCTCCAGTGGACCACATTCTGTCAGATCTTCACGACCCAGATAATCACAATGGTGTGATTACTCACGTAGAGCCAGACATCCTGGAATGTGAAGTCAAGTGGACCTTAGGCAGTATCATTATGAACAAAGCTAGTGGAGGTGATGGAATTCCAGTTGAGCTATTTCAAATCCTAAAAGATTACGCTGTTAAAGTACTGCACTCAATATGTCAGCATATTGAGTGGAAAACTCAGCAGTGGCCACAGGAATGGAAAACGTCAGTTTTCATTTCAATCCCACGAAAGGCAATGCCAAAGAATGCTCAAACTACCACACAATTGCACTCATCTCACACGCTAGTCAAGTAATGCTCAAAATTCTCCAAGCCAGGCTTCAGCAATACATGAACCGAGAACTTCCAGATGTTCAAGCTGGTTTTAGAAAAAGCAGAGGAACCAGAGATTAAATGGCCAACATCCGCTGGATCATCAAAAAAACAAGAGAGTTCCGGAAAACATCTATTTCTGGTTTATTGACTGTGCCAAACCCTTTGACTGTGTGTATCACAATAAACTGTGGAAAATTCTGAAAGAGATTGGAATACCAGACCACCTGACTTGCCTCTTGAGAAACCTGTATGCAGGTCAGGAACAACAGTTGGAACTGGACATGAAACAACAGACTGGTTCCAGATAGGAAAAGGAGTATGTCAAGGCTGTATATTGTCACCCTGCCTATTTAACTTCTATGCAGAGTACATCATGAGAAACGCTGGGCTGGAGGAAGCACAAGCTGGAATCAAGATTGCCGGGAGAAATATCAGTCACCTCAGATATGCAGATGACACCACCCTTATGGAAGAAAGTGAAGAAGAACTAAAGAGCCTCTTGATGAAAGTGAAAGAGGAGAGTGAAAAAGTTGGCTTAAAGCTCAACATTCAGAAAACTAAGATCATGGCATCTGGTCCCATCACTTCATGGCAATTAGATGAGGAAACAGTGGAAACTGGCTGACTTTATTTTTTGGGGCTCCAAAATCACTGCAGATGGTGATTGCAGCCATGAAATTAAAAGATGCTTACTCCTTGGAAGAAAAGTTATGATCAACCTAGACATCTTATTAAAAAGCAGAGACATTTCTTTGTCAACAAAGGTCCGTCTAGTCAAGGCTATGGTTTTTCCAGTGGTCATGTATGGATGTGAGAATTGGACTATAGGGAAAGCTGAGTGCAGAAGAATTGATGCTTTTGAACTGTGGTGTTGGAGAAGAGTCTTGAGAGTCCCTTGAACTGCAAGGAGATCCAACCAGTCCATCCTAAAGGAATTCAGTCCTGGGTGTTCACTGGAAGGACTGATGCTGAAGCTGAAACTCCAATACTTTGGCCACCTGATGCCAAGAACTGACTTATTGGAAAAGACCCTGATACTGGTAAAGATTGAGGGCAGGAGGAGAAGGGGACGACAGAGGATGAGATGGTTGGATGGCATCACTGACTCAATGGAAATGAGTTTGGGTAAATTCCGGGAGTTGATGATGGACAGGGAGGCCTGGTATGCTGTGGTTCCTGGGGTCGCAGAGAGTCAGACACGACTGAGCGACTGAACTATACTGACTGATCCAGAATCAGAGTTACTTCAGTCAAATATCATGAAAACAAAGTGAGTCTTCGAAAAAAAGAAAAGTATATGCTCATGGTAAGTTTAAAAAGAAAGTTGCAATCTATAAACTTGTCATTTACTACTTACCTCTCTGGCTCGCTGGACCTGTGCTTGCTCAATCCTACTGATGACATCCTGAACTGCAAATGGAATCTCAAGCTTAGGAACCTCTGATCTTTGTAGAACAGTTTTGTACATTTTGGTGAAATCCAAAGTTTCTTTTTCTGCTTCATATTCATCATTTGTCTCAGTTGACATTTTGATAAATGTTTTGGATAGTTGAGTGATTTTCTTTTATTTCTTCATTTTTTACAAAATATAGGCAAACACTTTGAAGCCATCCACAAGGAAGCTAGAAGAGGCTTTTCTTGCTCCCAGAGATTGTGGAGTACCCTGATCCTACCCATAGTGTTCCAGTCCTGGTGATGTCATAACAGAGCCATTGTGACATTATCATTGACTCAAATACTTAAAGAGTGCTTACTGTATGCAGAGAATTAGGCATTCTATATGCTGTGATGGTAGTGGGTGAAGGGGGGAGGGTGGGTAGGAAAGAATAGACAACAGGAACTATAAAAGAAATAGACGATATAGCCTTGCTTAAAAGAGCTTAAAATCTAGGTGTTAGAATTCAAGATCCAGTATATCAATCTTAACTCCTGATTCTTCTCTATTCCTGAGGTTTTGCTTAAGAATGTTTAAGCTTGTAATGGAATAATTGCATTACAACTTCCTCAGCTGCCCCTCAACTTTTCCTAGACTTCTAGTAACTTGGAAGATAGTACTTGGATGAAGATCACACTCTTTGCACTGCCTAGTGGCTCATTTATTCAAGGAGCCTGATTGAAGAAGGCTTTGAAGTTCCATAGTTGGCTGAGAAATTGAAGGGTATGCTTAGAGGCTGCTTTCTAACTGAAAAAAATCACTTTGGGCAGCTCCTTTGTAGAGGAGTTGAAAATATTTTGGACACCAGAGAAATTAAAGGACAGATGGTTTTGTTGGCTGTATAGATTATTTTTTAATTTAAAAAAGTGCAAAAAAGTACAGAAAGTAATATTAAAAATAGCCATGTGACTATCAGCTAGAATGAAGAGATATTAACATTTTGTCATATTTGCTTCAGATATTTTTTTAATAAAGCATTAGAGATAACATTTGTTATTCTCCCCAGATTCCTTCCTTCCCCTTTGTCCATTTTCAGAGGGCAATAGCAAGCATAAATCTGATGTATTTAGGGCCATAACAAGCATAAATCTGATATATTTATGTCTAGTCTATGTTTATATAGTTTTACTGCAGGTATTTGTGTTCATAAACTATGTAATATCATTTTGTAGGTTTTAGATTTTATACAAATTGTAGATGTATACCAATTACTCTATGAGAACTATGAGTACTTTATAAGTGCTTGTTGAAAAACTTGTAAATTTAAACAATTTGTTTCAGTCCTTTGGAGAAAGGGATACAGGGGATCATAATGTAATTGTCTTTAAAAGTATCAAGCAATATATAAATATTTTCCCTTCTCTTTAAGACCCCATTGTCTAAGTTATCCCTCCCCTCTAGTCCCAAATCACCTTGTAAACTTCGTATTATAGTACTTATTGAAATGTAACTATTTATTATTTGTTTCTATCCACTAGTTGTTGAACTTCTCAAAACCAGATGCTGTACTTTAGGTTTCTTTTTTTCCTTTTTTGGCTGTGCTAGCTCTTCTATGTAGCATGCATACTTCTCTTATTGCAGAGCACTGGCTCTAGTGCACACAGGCTTCAATAGTTGCAGCCCACAGGCTTAGTTGCCCTGTGCCATGTGGGATCCTATTTCCAATCAGGGATGGAAGCTGTGTCCCCCACATTGGAAGGCGGATTTCTAACCACTGGACCACCAGGGAAGTGCCTGTACTTTAGGTTTATCTAACGTTTGGCATACTCTTTTTCAGTACTTCCATGGAAACTGTCTAAAATATTTGGATATTTATTACAGTTTAAAACTCCTTCCCTGGTGGTCCATTGGCTGAGACTCCGTGCTCCCAATGCAGGGGGCTCGGGATAGATCCCTGGTCAGGGGAACTAGATCCCACATGCTGCTACTAAGAGTTCACATGCCTCCACTAAGACCAAGTGCAACCAAATAAGTAAGTAAGTAGATAAATAAATATTAAAACTCCTTTCCTTGTGGAAACTTCTCTAAGTCCAGAACACTTTCTTTTATTGTTAAGATTATACCCTCCTCCCCCTCCCCATAAAATATCACTCCCTCCTTTCCTATAAATCGCAATTAAGTCTATTTATTCAAGGGAGTTCATAATGTTTTCTGAAAGGGCCACGATTAAGGAGAATTATTTGTTTTTAGAAATGTGAGGTTTCACTAAAATGTCGATCATTACCCAATATTCCTTGACATTATCAATTAATCTATTAAATTACTTTGTTGATAATACTATTAGATTATGAGGTCCTTTAATAACTTAATTCCTGTTGATTCCTTTACATTGCTTACCCTAGTAGGCATTCACAAAACACCCTACATGCTGGTTACCTAAACTAATTTAGTATTATTGTGCTTTCTCTCTCCCTCATATTTTTTATGCAGCATGGAATTCATCAGCAACTGGCAATGAAGGCTTTTTAAAACAAATTTTTAAAAAATCTCTTCAAGTTGACGAGCATGTGTTGAGATACTACTATGTGGCTACCATTATCCTAGACTGTGAAGAATATATGATACGGTACCTGTGAATAAACTGAAAAACAACAAAAAAAGAAAAAATAATTTAAGTTAGAATATAACATTCAAGTGCTAAACAAGGGACATGAAGAAGAGATCTGTGAGGAACGGAGTCTTTGGGAAAACCTTATGGAGAGAGAAGGTTGATTGACAAATGAAGGTATTCCAGATAGGGGAGACACCTTGAGCCATGGCTTTGGAGGTGAGTGCTGAGTTTGTATTTCAGGGGAAAAGTAACTGGTTTAATTGAAGTGAAGTAATCTTGAATTTTACTTTCCTGGTGGCTCAGACTGTAAAGAATCTGCCAGCAATGCAAGAGATCAGGATTCAATCTTTGTGTTGGGAAGATCCCCTGGAGAAAGAAATGGCAACACACTCCAGTATTCTTGCCTGGGAAATCCAATGGACAGAGGAACCTGGCGGGATACGGTCCATAGGGTCACACAGAGACCAACACAACTGATGCGATTTAGCGAGCATACACACAAGTGAGATTACATTGGATATAATAGCAGTTGGTGAAAATAAAGCCTTCAATTTAGGAAGATTTTTTAAAATAATGTAATAGAAAAAATATATTGAAAATCAAGACAAGATTATTTCAAACGACAAATGTCTGAGTTAAGATATAGAAGTGGGACTGTTAAGGGAGGGATAAATCCTAGTAAGTGTGGCTAAAGATGATAAAAAATTTGGATCATCTAATAGATAATTATAAAGGTTAATTTTAAAAATGTTTTATTGTATTTCATTTGAATTGATGGCAGGACATCAATGAAGAGGCTATCCAGACAAAGTATTAATATTACCAAATAGCATACTGAGCAAAGATGTGGGTACCTGATTCAAGAGAACGTGGGGCAAAGTTCTTCGAATGTGTGTCTTAGGGAAACCCGCCCTCCCAGTAAGTGTTAGCTGCTCAGCCGTGCCCGACTTTTTGCGACCGCATGGACTGTAGCCCACCAGGCTCCTCTGTCCATGAGATTTTCCAGACAAGGATACTGGAGTGGGTTGCCATTTCCTTCTCCAATTGATCTTCCCAACCCCGGGACTGAACCCAGGTCTCTGCACTGCAGGCAGATTCTTTACCAACTGAGCCGCAAGGGAAGCCCTAGAGGGCTCCTTCAACAGTAAAATGGGGATAACAGTATTATTGCGTTGAATTGTTTAGACTAATTCAGATATAATAGTTAGAATAGTGCCAGGCCTTTAATGTGAACGGGTTGCTGTTAATATGTTTACCATTACTGCTGCTTTTTTTTCCTTTCTCTCTTTTTTTTCTGCGAGTCACCGCCTTTTCGGTAGGGCTGGCCGTTTTTCAGTACACTTTGCACAGTCTCGGCCTTTTATCAGATCGAGGTCTTGGGTCATGAGAAACTGCGGAGTTACTATGACCATGGTAACTCTCCGATGGGCCAGGTAAAAATGCGCCCGTAAAATTTTTCCACACCCCCGTGGCACACAATGGTGCCTTCCTCTGATAGATTCAATCCCCCCCACCCCCAAGTCAGATGATAGTACAGTCCAAACTGCGGCTGGAAAAGGTAGTGCAAAAGTTGAGCGCGCCGAGGATTTTCTCTTCTCCCGGAAGCAATTGTTCTCTAGAGCCGGAAACAGTTGCTGTTTCAAGGGAGGTGGGACGGGGCGGGTCAGGGCGCAGCGGCTGACGGCGGGGGAGGAGCCGGGTCCGCTGCCGGGTGGAAGGGCCAGGCGAGTGTCCTTATCCTAGCGATTGGGGCTCGGGCCTGTAAGCCAGTTGGAGTCGCGTTGGCGAGAACGATTGGGCCCAGCGGAGGAAGACATGTTGCTCTTCGTGGAGGTGAGTGGACTTGGGAACCTCATCGTGCTCTGAGGAGAGCTGGAGTGTGGAGGCGCCGGCCAGTCCCAGCGCCATGTGACTTTCCAGGCCGTACACGGCGCGGAGCCGGCAGACAGGCTGACACAGCACCTGGGCCGTGCAGGCCCGCGGCTCCGCGCTGCGCGCTCGCCGCACTTTAGGAGGCGAGGGAGGTGGGGGGGCGAGTGCCTTGGTCGGGGAGAACCGGAGGTGGAGAATCGAGGTTTGTCTGGTGCGGTGTGAGGGTCGGAGGAAGGGGAAAGCGTCCCATATGGACCTCCTAAAGGAGGCGAGCTGGGGGGTGGGGGGGGGTGGGGGGGGCGGAGGGCGGAGTCTGGGGAGAGAAGGGTAATCAGGTGGGCGCGTTCCGGGTGAAGCGAGGCCTCGCGCGGCCCTCTGGGAGCAGGCGAGCAACATGTGGGGCCACCGAGGGAGGAAGGTGAAATTCCGTCTGAGTGTTTGGAAAAGAAAGTTGAAAGCCTCTTTCTAACAGGCCCACCAGATTTTGTTTGGTCCCCATGCTTCGTCTCTGGAACGTTCTGTGGGTGGAAAGCGAGTTACTGTGAACGAAGGAGAAAGCCTGTAGGATTTGGAAGCCTTGAAAGGCACCGCTTTGACCTTTTGTAAAAGTTACTCAGGCAGCGACTCCGTGATGAGGGACCGGTTTTATGAACGGATAAGAGCCCTTTACAGGAAAAATTCCAAGAACGAGCGAAACCTAGTTCGGGCAAAGCTTTTTTTTTTTTTTTTTTTGTATTGTTATTTAACAATTTGTTGTTCATTCGCAAAGTCTTGTCCGACTTTTTGCGACCCCATGGACTGCAGCACTTTTATTACTTTAACCTGAACGTCTGTTGTTGGCCTGTTTTAGTTTTCAAGGTAGTGGATACCTGTTTTACATAAATTCAAGGTTCGGTTTCTCTTATTTCTGGCTTTCTCTTGTGTGCAATGAGCATCAGCTGACTGCCTGGTTAATGCTTTGAGTAGATTCCAGATCGTATTGTTCTTGCGTTGTGAAAACGTCAAACCAGCAAAGCTGCAACTTCGCAACTTGGCACTTGTTCGCTATGCCCATAAAAAGAATCTTTTCAATAAAAGAAGGAATTTACAGGTTGTATAATGGGTCGGGAACCAGGGCCAGTCTATGGCGGGTTTCTTTCAGACGAAGGGAAGAATCTTAGTCCGTAATATTCCGACATAAATACGGGCTTCTACGGGTTTTTTTTAATCGACGGTGTAGCTGATCATTGGATTTTAAAGAGGCAAGCTACCTTTTAGAATATTTCAGCATTGATAATAAACATTCACTGGAACATTCCAAGTACATCATGAAGAGATTTTAAGTTATTGAGTCTGTTTGGTTTTTCTAATCCTCGTTGATTTCCTTGGGCAGAATAAGAAATCAGGTATGATTTTAAACAGCACCAGTTTGTATTAGGAATGTTACGCCAAGCAAATGCTGCAGGTTTTAAGTGTATATGTTTTACTGAGCAAAAAACTGAAGTTTCAGTTATATCAAGATGAATTCCAAAACAAACTTTTGAGTTCCAAATTGATTGTTTTGGCTTTGTTAAAACGTGAACCTTAATAATAGCTCCATTTATTGACAGCTTAAGCTGAACTTCTCTTATTTCTAAAACAACATTGCAGTGTTCTACAGATGAGAAAAGTGAGGTGAGAGGTTAAATAACTTAGTAAACCTAAAATAGTGGAGCTGGGATTTAGATACAGGTCATTCTGATGCCAAATCATGACTCTCACTTAATGTTACATATAACTAATATTTCCATTAATCATTTTCTTTGTGAATCAATATTTGGCTTTTAGTTTTTTGTCGTTTCACTTTTTTGTTTTTACATATAATGAGTTTTCCTGAAAATTAACAATGGCACTAAATATTTGGGTCTAATTACATGGTATCAAAATCAGTAAAATATAACACACTGGCCTTTTGGCATTTTGTTAACTAATATTCAGTGCCTGTAACCTCATGATGTAGGAATTATTCTAAATGAGTTTGATGTCCAAGGTCATTCAGGTGTAAATAATGTGAGGACTAAAGTCTGAAGTCTGACTTCTAGAATACAAGTCACTGATTCCAAAACTTATTTTTGCACTTACTTTCCAGTGACTCAAGGGTTCCTAATCTGGGTCCCCAAACACAGAACTTGGTTGAGGGGAAAAAAAAAATTACCTATTTATTGTAGGTAAATGTCTAAAGTAGACATTTTAAAATATTTTGGTAACTGTAATTTATTTTGTGGTTCTGCATATTTCATATACTTAAAAATATTCTGAGAAGAGATTCATAGGTTAATTGGACTACTGAAAAGGTCCAAGGAGGTTAATAACCACTTGACTACAAACCAAGTTGCTTTGAATAGGAGTTCTCTAATATAGGATCGATGAGTCCTCTGCAGTTGTGTTCAGTCTTTTATTTGCATGCATTTTTCTGGAGAGACCCCAGTTTAATTATAACTGGAATCAGTGGGATAGAGGATAGTAATGATACTACTGTAATAATAGTGGTGTACACATAAATTGTGCTTACTGTATGTCAGGCCTCTTGAGTCTTGCTGCATGTATACATTTATATACATCAACTCAAACCTACCTATGAAGTAGGTAGCATTATTACCTCCATTTTAGAGATAAAATAAGTCACAGAAAATTAAAGAAACTTGCCCAAGATCATGCAGCTAGTGAGTATTGAAGCTGGAGTTAGAACTCTGAATTGCAGTATATGCTGTGCTGTGCTTAGTCGCTCAGTCGTGTCCAACTCTTGGGCGATGCCATGAACTGTAGCCTAACAGGCTCCTCTCCATAGGGATTCTCCAGGCAAGAATACTGGAGTGGGTTCCCATGGCCTCCTCAAATTGCAGTTTACTGCAGTAGAAATCTATAGGCAGACAAGGAATCCTATTTTAAATAATACTTAAGATGTAACTTTTGAAAAACTTGATCTTGCAAAGGTCTATACCGACTTCAGTAGTTTATTGTTTTTGTCTCACCTCTGTTCTGAAGTAGACATATACAGTGTCTGTCTTTGTGTGGAGGTAAAAACTTTTGGATAATATACCAAATTGTCAAGCTTGCTCCAACATACTTGGTTACAAAAATTCCAAAAGTTTGAAACAGCAATGTGCAGTGTTCTTCTGATGATTATTGAATTACTTAAGTTTTTGAGCACTGAGGAGACAGTTTGCAGTTATTTTCATATTTTTATAGTTTGCTAACGTTTTATTCAGATCATTTCCCCCCTCCAATATTTCCAGCCAATTGTGTCTGCTCTAGTTGTTTGGCAATGTTTTAATTGGATTTCTGTCTCTTGAGTTTTTCTCTAAAAATGAATACTCAAGGATGTTTAATACTCTCACATAATTTTTAAAAAATAATTTTAATTATGGAAAGTACACATAAAATGTATCATCTTAACCATTTTTAATACACAGTTCAGTTGTGTTAAGTACTTACAAGTATTTACATTGTTGTGTAACCACTACCACCATCCCTATCCAGAAGCTTCATCTTGCAAGACTGAAACTCTGTACACATTAAGCAGTGAATCCCTGTTCTCCCTTCCCCCAGATCTTACACAGTTTTTAAAAGTATTTTATTTTTATTTCTGTATCTTCATTGCTGTGCAGGCTTTCTGTAGTTGTGATAAGCGGGGACTACTCTCTAGTTCCGGTGCATGGACTTTCATTGTGTTTTTTCCTGTTGCTACAGCTGTGGGCTGTAGCGCTCACAGGCTCAGTAGTTGTGGCTGCACCAGGGATTGAGCCTGTGTACCCTATATTGGCAGGCAGATTCTTAACCATTGGACCACCAGGGGATGTCCCTTACACAATTTTTAAAATAACTTACCTGACTTGTAAATTTTTCTGCCTTTTTTAGGTGATAACATTTTAAATTTTAGATTAGCCTTAAAATCTGAAATAAGTGACATATTTGCCTTGATAATAAAAATTGATATTATATTGCAGTAATTATGAATAGTTTTGTGTCTTTTACCCTCAGTACAGTACTCAGTTTTTCCCCATTAGCTTAAATAGGTTTGTATTAAGGGTCAGAATAGTACATTTTAAGTTCTGTGTATTTCCCCACAATAAAATATATGATGAGTTGGCTATTCACAAAAAAAAAAAAAATTGGTTTGTATTTATAAAAAGTTATTAGATATCACCGACTGAAAATGATTTTTCAAAAATGACTGAAAAAAAGAAAATGTCTACACAAATTGTGAACTGATTGCCAGGAAGTAATAAATAAGTAAATAGCTGAGAAGTTTTTGAACAATTTGAGTTTGGAATATTTATTGGAAAATTCTGGATGCAGAATTTTAAAATGAATAGACATTTTCAAAGAAATACTTTCAGATGTAATGGATTGAAAATGAAGTAGAAATTATTTTCTATTTTCATAGTGTGAAAAGTGGAATAGCAAGCTCAGAAGTGAATATAAAGATGTAGAAGTACCTCAAGGTGCTTCAAATTACATGTGAAAAACTGGAAATTAGAAATATTGCTATTCAACTATTTTCTATCCGGTTGGATTTGTTCAGGCTGTCTCCCTGCTCCGTATTACTTTCCAGCTGATGGAAATGTTCCTAAGTACTAGACATGAATATTTCAAATCTATAATTTTGGTCTTTGATGTGTGTGCGCGTGTGCTCAATTGGCACAGTTGTGTCTGACTCTTTGCGACCCCATGGACTGTAGCCTGCCAGGTTCCTCTTGTCTGTGGAATTCTTCATGCAGGAATACTGGGGTGGGTTGCCATTTCCTCCTCCAGAGGATCATTCTGACTCAGGGATAGAATCTGCATCTCCTGCATTGACAGGCAGATTCTTTATCACTGCGTCATACCTAGGAGCTTAAAAAAAAAGGTTTTGACCCTGTGGCTAGAGATGGGGTCTGTGACTGTATTGCAGAGGGGCAGAAAGTAGAGGAAATGGAGAAAGTAATGCAGCTGTCACTGTG